TTGAACCCTTCCAAGATTACGGGTACTGATCGTACTATAATTATAAAACATATAGAAACGACAAATACCCATAAACCCGGAAAAATGATTTTTTTTCGTCGATCTCATGACTTAATGATAATAACTGAATGATTCGGCGAAAGCTCCGGATGATTGAACTCTTCCAAGATTACAGGTACTGATCGTACTATATTTATAATATCTACAGAACGACCAATACCCATAATCCTGATCAAGTATTTTTTCGATGATGCCCCAGTGATTGCGTGATGATGATTAAATGATTCGGTAAAAGCTACAGATGATCGAGCTCTTCCAAAATTACAGGTACTGATCGTACTATATTCATAGAACATACAGTAACGACAAGCACCCATAATCCCGAAAAAGATTTATTTTTGAATGACGAGCCAGTGATTCAATGATTGAATGATTCGGTGAAAGCTCCAGATGATTAAAAATTCTCCCACGATTACGGATACTCATCGTACTATATTTATAAGACATACAGAACGAAGAAGTACCCATAATCCTAGAAAAATTAATGCGTTGAATGCGTTGATTCAATGATTAAATGATTCGAGATCAATTCCTCCCATCCCAGGTACAGATCGTACTATAATGCAATCAGATATAGGAACGACTTGTACCGAAGGATCTGAGGGAAATGTCACAATTGAATTGCTGAATTGAGCCCTCGAAATAATTAAATAAATCTTCGGTAGGCTCTCATTGCAATTAGGCACACAGAAACGACAGCATGAATTTTTTAATTGTCGTGATGATACAGATAAGCGAAAAGATCTCATGTCATGCGATGTAATGATCCACGTGTTAAACCGATAATGCAAAAATGATGATTGAAGCAAACACAATTACTCAGTACTGGGTCCGTACTATGAAAATTATGTAACACAGTACAGAATAGTACTGACGATTTGGGATTGCAAATGTAGGAATTATTTTCGACATAAATAATTATTGAAAATGGTGAATAAAAATGTTGAATAAAGAGTTATTAAAAAATATTTCACTCACCCCATATTTGCCAGCAACTTCTTCAACAACCGGTGAGATAATAATTCCTGATAGGCATCCGATGGAATTCATTATTCCGTAGAGGAAGCCAGCGAAATTCGGCGATAGATCCTGATTGTTTGATAAATTGGAGATTGAGGCTGCGCCATTGAAGCCCAGAGCGAGCACCAGGAAAACATTGGCCCAGAAGAAGGAGCAGCCGAGATAACCAACGACAATCAGACAAAGTCCTGGCAGTAAATGAGCTGTGGAGATGATTAAAATGATCATTGATACGATGACTAGGGTAAAATATAATTATGCTAATGGAAAAATTTCTTACAGAATATAGTTGCTGTTTTTCTCAAGAGAGTTATGGACATCCACTGCTTTCTTTTAACGACATCTCCAGCCCATCCAAAGAAGAAAGCGAAGATAACTCTGCTGGCCCATGGCAGACCAGCCACAACTCCACCTTTTGTTAATTTGAAACCCAGGGCTTTTGTCTGGTACAGCATCATGCCATTCTGGTAGAAGAACAGCAGGAAGAGATTGCCGAAGTGACAGAGGATGAGACACAGAAAAGGAATCGACGTCATAATCTTGACGATTGGTGTTTCCCGGAGGGAGGGCTTCTCCTTTTGAACGACTCCTGCTTGAGACCTGCAGGACAATCCGGGATTAAACCAACGAGGGATTATATTTAAAAATTATCTGGCAAAATTTCCCAGAAATTATCGTTTTCACCAGAAAATTGGAATTTGTGAATTAAAAATTATCGCTTTTAAGCTCACGGTAGGGAAATTAATTAATTAATTTTCAGGAGAGAAATAATTGGATTACTCTAAGATGTAGTTCTTCTCCGCCTCGGAGATGCCAGGATGTTCCTCTGGTGAGTCCCAGGCGAAGAGGTACCAGGCGATGACCCAAACGAACATCATGATGGCGGGGATATACCACCCGCTCTCCCAATTAATGTTCTCAGCAATTCCAGAGATCATTCCGAACAGGAAAATTGATCCGAAGGTGCCACCCTGGAGTGTCCAAACGAATCTACCTTTTTCGTCGGGTGGTGCCCATTTCGCGACCAGTGTGTGACACGCGGGAAAAGTAATGCCTCCAGTGATACCAATGATCACTCTGGAGAATGCCAGGAGCATCCAGGATACGTGTGCCAGGATTGGAGTGATCAGGGATATGACACCTGCCGCAAGGGATGACCAGAGGATTGCCTGCCTTGGGCCGTACTTCTGGGCGAGTACTCCACCGATAAAATTACCGGGAACATTTCCCCAACTGTATGCCGATATCAGTTGTCCCCGGATGAATGGCGTCCACTCGAAGGGATGACCCGAGAACAGATGCATACCAGCAGGCGGAGGGGCTTCTGAATCACTCCTGAATGTTCCTGACAGGATTTTTTTTTTTTAGATTGATGACTCCACGGGGATTCGAGTATAATTATCATTTTTTTTTCGGTGGAAACACTCGAGGTTCCAACGAAATCGGAATGTCAATTAATTTTGATAATCGTTTATTCGATTTGTCGGTACCTAAATTATTAATTTTCGAATAAGTCAACTGTTTTTTTGATGCTGAATTTTTTTGGTGAATTCAAAAAATCGCGAATGTGATTTCTTAGAACAAAAGTGGAAAATTTAGGCATGAGGATTTCCCCGAGAGTTACGATCGTACCATTGAGCCCAGGAAAACCGGTATCATTAGTATCCCTCTGAAAAATGGCGTGGAAGTCCTCAGGATCGTGAATTGACCCGAATGGAACAGATCTTCTGTTTTTATCTGCATTGACTCTAGCTGCTTCTTCAGCAGACCGAACACACGCACCCGAAAGCTCCTGCTTATCTTGCGCTGTTTTTATCATGGGAACCGCCAAAATACTCATCTGGAGACGACACATGTAGCTAGTCCAGCACGCAGTGAACATCATGATGCAGATGATGATCCGCGATGGAATCCATTCTGCAAATCGATTTGATCACTCAACTCTCATTTCATTTTATCTACATCAGGACTTACGCAGGAATCTCCACATTCTCGATCGAAATCACCGATCGAAGATCTATTAGGTGTGAAATTATTAACGGAAGCTGGGAAAGTTACCGATTGTTAAATAATATCGGATTATCTCTATGGAAACGAGATGAAATTCTGTCTCAATAAAGGATCGAGAAAATGACTCTTGATTCGGTTCATTGTTCATTACTCGAAATACCGGATAATGGGGGCGGGAGGATTCAACAAACAGCTTATGCAATGTTCATTAACCTGACTCGGTGACATCAATAATAGTGTTGCAGTTGTGTCTGCAAATCGGTTCGGCGTGACGATAGAAATTGCCAAGTTTGAATTATTTCGGAGACAACAAATATATAATAAAAATATTAAATATTTGAAAATCAAGGACGCGAAGATATCGCCCAACAATTATCTATAACCGGTGAGAATGGAATTTATTTGGAGTTAAATATTTTTAAGTGGAATTTAACTCGGAAATATAAACAAAATCCACAAAAAAATGTGTGCAATCATCAAAATATGGAAAAATTGAGATTGTTGTCATTACGATTGTTTATTCTCAAGTTGGTTATTGAAAAGAATTCGGGAATATTTTTGACTCGATGTCAATGTTAATAACAAATGAGAAATATTTTATTTGGAAATTTTTACGAGAAAAAACAATCAACAATATTTCGATGTTAATTTATAATGAGAAAAAATTGCTAAATAACAATATTTAATTGAATTTAAATTTCTCTCAGTTTCAGTTACCCAATTAATAAATTTGCAATTGCTCTGAACATTAAAGACCGATAAAAATCATGAATTCGCGAGAATTCAGAGATTTAATTAATGTAACGACTCAAACATCGATTTCGATATAGATTATCGAGGCAATTACCTCGGTTTCAATGTCGAGTGGTTGATTAATGTGACAAGAGACGTAATCCATCGAATGGAGTTGTAGAATTATCCCGCAAATGGAATCGCCGAAAATCCAAATAATTTCGTAAATATTTCCAGTATAAATTGACTTACTCGGTATGAATCTCCGGTATATCTTCTCGTACATCTCAAACTCCTTGAGAAAATCTTAGCGAATAAACCACAAGATATAAACTATCACAGAAACAAACAACTCGAGTTACTCATGGATGCACTGATTTTAACTGACGATTTTTTCCACGCGAAAAATAAAATCACAGAGTCGATCGCTGTGTATCGGATGTCAAGAAGAGACTGATGAAAATTTGTTAGTAACAAGTACTTATATAGGGGTTTGAAGTGGAAGCGGGTGGGGTAGGGCGGCGTGGGTGCAGGACCCAATAGGTCCCACTTGGAGCACTGGATAATCCAGGTAGTCCTCCAGGTATACCCGGGCTACTGCCCATTCAGATTTTCGGGAATGGAAAATTCCCGAAATACTCAATGGGAAATTCACCGGCCGGTGCCAAATGTTTATGACCTTTCCAGGGAGAGAAATTTTTCTGTGAATGAATCCATACCGCCACGTGAATATTTGTCATTTTCCAAATTACAATATTCAAAATCATCTTCATATTACTAGAATATTATTATTTTTACATAATAATAATAATTTATAATAATTACAACGGAAAATCATGTGAGAAAAAGGAAAATGTTTGATTTTTTTACAGCAAGAAATTTTCATTGGCTTGGAAAATTTAGAATTGGGAGTAATTATTGAAATAATGAAAAATATTGAAAAATATTGAAAAAAAAATGAGGGAAATCGCGGAAATTATTGTGTAAATCAAAATCCAAGTGGAGACCCCTTGACCTCTTGACATCTGCCTACTAAACGTCAGAGTAAATTACACAATTTTTTATTCGTCACAACGACAAAAAAATTAAATAATGTCCTATTATATATATCCTATAAACAAACTCCTTTCGGATACTATTTTTTTTTTCAGTCCTACGTTTTTGTCTCGGATGATGCGGTTATCAGTATTAGACGTTGCAGTGGAGAACCTTGAAGTTCTTTTTGAAATTATATGTTCATTTCGTGAGTTGTTTGCGATAAAAAAGAATTTTACACGTGATAATGTTTTTGTTACTCGCGTCAGTTTAATATTTTTGTTGTGATGAAAAACATAAATATGCAGCGAGCATTTATCAACGCTTTGTTATTTAATTCCAGGACGATTATTCAGGAATAACTAAATGATTAGATAATTCTCTCCGGATTTTGCATTTTTTCTGTGTGTTCCAGTAAAGGCGATAATTTATAAATAAATATTATCTGATCTTTTCAAATAATCGCACAAAATTGAAGTTCAATGGATTTTCATTTAAAGAATTCTCAAATATTTAAGATTCAGTCACTGATAAATTAATTAACTCCGGGTGAAAAAGTTTATCGCGAATGTTTCTGTAAAATCGATGAAAAATTATTCGCAATGTTGAATATTGAAAAATTATTGAAGAGTAATAAAAATAATTCAGTAATATGAAAACCGGTACCTCAGGAATGGGTCATACTGTTGAGGATTATTAACGGAAATTTCCCTGGAAATTTCACCGAAACGTCCCACCCTGTCCGCTTTTTCTGGAAACCCGACGCCTAAAAGTCAAATGGTTCTTCGGGGTAAATAAAAAATTTTTCTACAGGGCAATATCCAATGATCCCCTGCAGGATGCAATTGACCTGGAAGGATAAGAATAAAGGAACTAGTTCAATAATTTGAAAACTGGTACCTGTTCAATGAGGCATCGTTCATGATTTTTCATGGCATTTTACCCTATCGCTTACTCGGCTTTTCCGAGAATTCCGATGTACAGAATTAATTTAACAAACAGAAAACAAATAATTCCGTTGTGTCCAATAGAAACGAGAAGAATAACCACTGGATTTAGTGAATAAATGAGTTTTCGGAGAATTCCTCGGAATCTAAGAGAAATAATGAAATTTTTGCATAAACATTTTTTGTAGCTCTCATTCCCCTCTAGAAAATAGTTATAAACAAAAAAATCGGTATCTCTCTTAAATTCGGAGATATCCCTCAAAAATCCTTGTCACAACTCTTCGATCTATAATTACCCGGAGAATAAACATGTCTTCATTTAATTATTAATTATTTTCACCCTGATGAAGACAATATTATTTCTCAAGGTGAATATCAATAATTTATTTCTCGTATGTATCTCTCTCTAATAAATTCTTTCGGGAATAGCGAATGCAGTTCAGATAATTTGAGAATAGATAATGGTGCAATGAGTCATATTGCCGAATATTTTACCCGCCATTTGTCTGGAAATTTTATAAAATTTTACCCGTCTGTTTCAGGGGTCAGTCCCCACACTCCGGGTCATAATCCCAAGTACCGGCATTACGGTAGGTGACAACAATAAAACCGCGGGACTTTCCCGAAGGGTTCTCCACCCTCCAGGTAGTGCAATAAAGTACGCAAGGTTTTCAGCAATTACCTGAGAAATTAATTCTCGAAAATTTTTGCACCCCGACTGCAAACAGTCGGATAATCCCTTCGGACAGGCTCACCAGGTGCATCTGACAACAGAGTCATAAAACCAGAGCGAAGAAACAATAACTCTCAGGTATATTGTTATTGAATGACCAATGGAAAAATTCACGTCGAGATTCTCATCGGAATTTATTTTCTAGATTTTTCCACGTTTCATGTACTCACGCTGTCGTTTTCGATATCCTAGGAGGGGTACGTCCTCGTCGAACATCCGGTCCACAGCATCCTCAAAGGCATTCATCGCTGGCCAGTGGATTACTGAATCCGTCACACAGTTTTGATATTTATTATCGGCTAAAGTGCGAAGGTCAATTCACTATTCGATTAAAATGATTTATCCCGTGTTTTATTTGAATATCGCGAGGGAATCCCATTGGTTCATGGAAAGTCGATCTTTTGCAATCGATTTTTTTTTAAATCTCGTTTTCAATTGGACAACGTTTTTTTTATTCAAATCAAAATAGTCGATATTATCACCGACTTCCGGTGGTAAAACCAATTTTTTTTCTAAATCAAATCAAAAATTTATCTTTTTTTTCCGGTATTTTCTATTTTCTCATTTTTACGGAGATTCAAAAATACGCGGGAAAAAAGTTCAATAGATCGAATAAAGACGATAGATTTCATTTTTTTAATAAAAAATGTTAAATAATCGCTTTCAACAGAAAAATCTCATTCACAAAATTTTTGCTCATCTAAAAAAAAAATTTCGATTGGTGCAATGAAAAAAATCAGTCTCTCCGATTAATCGCCTGACATCCATCCATGTCCATTGAAATTTCCCGCGGTTTTTTTTTCATCTGGGGAAGCCCGGTTACCGAGAAAATCACTAGAGTCACTAGAGTGACAAGCGATTCTTGAGTGAAGCTGTACAACAGCCGATCCCAACTGCCTGGCAATTAATTTCCGATAATTACGGTGTATCCCAGGGCAATAGTGAATCAGTTAGAATTTTCGGAATAAAAACACGTGCGTCCCATCATGACGCTCATAAACAAGGTGAGTAAAATCTTCATTATGGAGAATAGTTATTTGCATTCCGGAGATAAGATATTGGTTATGTTGAAGTATCCTTTTCATTCAGATGGAGGTGGACGATAAACCTTCCAAGGGTGAGGGTTTCAAGCCGTATTACATTACGAAAATCGAAGAATTGCAGCTTATTGTCGCCGAGAAGGGGCAGAACCTCAGGAGATTACAGGCGCAACGTAATGAGCTCAATGCTAAAGGTGAGGATATTCCTAGGGTCAGCAGCTTTACGGATTTAATTTTTTCAATATTCCCGGGGATTTCGTTGAAGAAACCCTTTCAACTCCATGAATTCCTGGGGAATGACTTTGCATTTTTCATACAGCACAGAATTAATAGTTTTAAGTTTCAACAGATGCCTCAGTACAACTGTCAAATGAATTATTTAACAATAATTAATTAAACTATTCATTTATTATTTCTAACAGTGCGTATGCTTCGAGAAGAGCTACAACTTCTTCAAGAGCAGGGCTCGTACGTTGGTGAGGTAGTAAAACCAATGGACAAAAAGAAAGTCCTAGTAAAAGTCCACCCTGAGGGAAAATTTGTTGTCGACATTGACAAAAACATCGACATAAATGACGTGACGCCAAACTCACGAGTTGCCCTTCGAAACGAGAGTTACACCCTTCATAAAATTCTCCCCAACAAAGTCGATCCTCTGGTGTCCCTCATGATGGTGGAAAAAGTACCAGATTCGACTTACGAGATGGTAGGGGGTCTCGACAAGCAAATAAAGGAGATTAAGGAGGTTATTGAGCTGCCAGTGAAGCATCCTGAGTTATTCGATGCACTGGGTATTGCCCAGCCCAAGGGTGTATTACTTTATGGCCCACCAGGTACTGGAAAGACCCTTCTGGCTCGAGCTGTTGCCCATCACACCGAGTGCACGTTTATTCGTGTTTCTGGGTCGGAGCTTGTGCAAAAATTTATTGGCGAGGGCTCGAGAATGGTCAGGGAGTTGTTTGTCATGGCTAGGGAGCACGCACCCTCGATTATATTCATGGATGAGATCGATTCAATTGGCAGCTCGAGAATTGAATCTGGTTCTGGGGGTGACAGTGAGGTACAACGAACGATGTTGGAGTTATTGAATCAACTCGATGGCTTCGAGGCCACCAAAAATATCAAAGTCATCATGGCCACCAACAGAATCGATATCCTCGATCCAGCGCTACTACGTCCTGGCAGAATTGATCGCAAAATCGAGTTTCCACCACCGAATGAAGAGGCTAGACTCGATATTCTCAAGATTCATTCCAGGAAAATGAATCTTACCAGGGGAATTAATCTCAGGAAAATCGCTGAACTGATGCCCGGCGCGTCCGGAGCTGAAGTCAAGGTGAAAATTAATTATCCTGCCACCTGAGAGGGAATGCTTTTTCATTTAGATTTTTTTTTCTATTCTTCTATTTATTGTGGGAGGCAATAAAACTAGTAATAAACTTTTGAAGGGAATTGTATCACAACCGAAGAATTCAGGTTTATTGCTATTTATTGGTTTGTTTTTATTCTCAGGGGGTGTGCACCGAGGCAGGTATGTACGCACTTCGAGAACGTCGGGTGCATGTGACCCAGGAAGATTTCGAGATGGCCGTTGCCAAAGTTATGCAGAAGGACTCTGAGAAGAATATGTCTATTAAAAAATTGTGGAAATAATTTTTTTCGTTTCAATGTATTGCTAAGGAATTTAATAAACACTCTTGCTTATTTCAGTAATTCCTGGGGATTGCATAATTGCAATAATTTCTCCTTTCCAATTTATTTTATCTGAATTAAAATTTCAGAAACAGATTAATATTTTATATGAATGATTTTCGATTGAGATATCGACGATATCGAAAGATAAATAATTCCAGGGGATTTTTTTAATTCATTCCCGGAATTACCGACACGAATGACTGAGCTTGATTTTTCTGCCACCAAGTGGGAGGGCGTAGAATCGCCTTTTGGAAGAAAATCCCTCCAACCGGGCCTTTCCATCGTCAATTCAAGGGAAAACACTGAGCATTTCTTCTCTACAAAACAGTGAAACCCCACCATAAAACTTTTTATTGTACACATAACGAAACGAAGGTATTCATCACTGAAAAATTCATCAGAAATATTATTGTGAAGCTGATCAGAGGATTAACTCCTCATTGACTCAATCGACGCAGCTTTTTCCTCAAAATCATGGACGATTTCAGGTGAGAAACGATCACTAATTTCGAGGTTATCTGGCCTCCAAAAATTCAATCCCCGGCTTTGCCTCCATTTCAACTCCACAAATTTGTCTTTTGAATTTTTTTACTTAGGATTATTAATCATTGTTAAATATTTATTTTAGCTTCTCTGAGGAGGAAGGCGCTGATACCGCTGATTCCCTGGACATAAAACCTCCTCAAGCAACAGTTGCTCTCCACAAATCGAGTTCTTCACGTCGCAGGGAAAAACACAGTGACAGACGTGACAGACGAGAGGAGAAAGAGCGAAAATCTCGTCATCATGACAGAGAGGAGAGGTAAATAATCATCTCTATAAATTATATCGATAAAAACTTCCCGACGCCTAAAGTCAATTATTTGAAATTTAAAAAATAGAGATTTTATTTTGTTTTCACTCTGATATCAGGTACAGGGATAAACATAGGCATCGAAGACATGGGCCAGAGTCTATGGACAGATCCGATCGTCAGGACAACTCGAAGAGAGACAGGGAACGTCCTGATAGGCTGGACAGGGGTATGGAGACGCATTCCAGGGATGGAGAGTCCTCCAGACACGAGAGGAAAGACCGAAGCACTGGAGATCGTGTCCTCGAAGATTTGCGCACCAGGTGAGAGTCAATTTTAATGAAATTTTGTTGAAAACTTGGGAAGATTTTCTTTTAAAAATCCTCGTGGTCAAATCTCTCATTTCCATGGCCGTAGAATTGTGATCTGGGTAGAACTTCGTGAAGAGAGCATACCACCTTGATTTTTAAAGGATTTGAAACCCTCATTATCTCTAGATGTACTAATAACACTCAACACAAGGGCTTTGGTTTCCAGACTCCTGGACAAACGTCGAGAGAGGCGAGACGATCCACGAGATCTGCGTGAGTATAAATCAGAATCGAGACGTGAGTTGCGGATCGAGGAGAGTCGAGACAGACGAGAGTTGAGAATTGAAAGCAGAGAGAGTCGCATAATAACTGAAGAGAGTCGTGATCGTCGTGAGTTGAGAGTGGAGGAGAGGAGACACCTGATGATCGAGGAGCAGTACTCGGAGCCAGAGCTGGTGGATCGAGAGAAAAGACACAAGAGAAATCACAAGCACGAGAGAACACGAGACAGAGAGAAGATGGAGAGAGACAGACATCCAGTGGATCTCGGACAGGACGATCCTGAGCCCATGGACATCGGTGATGCCCCAGTGGTATCGAAAGATCCCAAAGAAATGACTGAGCAGGAGTTGCGCAAGGAGAGATTGTTGGAGGCAGATCGAGAGAAGGCAGCGAGGAGGGAAAGATCGAGATTGGAGTTGGAGGAGAGAAGATCAAGACGTGGGGAAAAACGAATACACAGTCCTGGCCCTGATCCTGATCCATCGATTGTCGAATTGTCCGATGAGAGTCGAAGTGCTGAATCTGACGATGAAAGATCGAGATCACCAAAATCCCAGAGACAATCATCAGACGAGCGAAACAGTGGTAACGAACGCTCCTCAGAGCATCACACCACCGACTCCTCGAGCTCGTCCTCATCCAACGAAGATGACTCTAATGACTCTGCCCACGGCTCCAAAGAGGACTCCAATGATGGCTCCGATTATAACAATGCGAGTCCCCTGTCAGTGGATCGACTTGCCAAATCCGATCACTCTGATGGAGATTCTCCAGGTCGTGTCGAGCCCAATGGAGTGAAAACCGGGGAGGAAGAGGAGGAGGAGGAGCTGAAGAAGGAGGTCCTGCCAGAGCTGCCACCGTATCTCCCTGCCATCCAGGGATGCAGGAGTGTTGAGGAGTTCCAGTGCCTCAACAGAATCGAAGAGGGTACCTATGGTGTCGTTTACCGAGCACGTGACAAACGCACAGAGGAAATTGTTGCCTTGAAACGATTGAAGATGGAAAAAGAGAAGGAAGGATTCCCCATCACGAGTCTCAGGGAAATAAATACCCTCCTGAAGGCCCAACATCCCAATATCGTTACTGTAAGAGAAATAGTAGTTGGTAGCAATATGGACAAGATTTTTATCGTCATGGACTACGTGGAGCACGACCTGAAGTCCCTGATGGAAACGATGAAGCAGAAAAAGCAGGTTTTCATCCCTGCGGAGGTGAAGTGCCTGATGCAGCAGCTGCTGCGGGCTGTGGAGCATCTCCATGACAACTGGATACTCCATCGCGATTTGAAAACGTCGAATCTCCTGTTGAGTCATCGTGGTATCCTCAAGGTCGGCGATTTTGGTTTGGCAAGGGAATATGGATCACCTCTGAGGCAATACACACCAGTGGTAGTGACTCTCTGGTACAGAGCACCTGAACTTCTTCTCAATGGAAAGGAATACAGTACACCTATTGACATGTGGTCTGTTGGCTGTATTTTCGCTGAACTCGTGAGGATGGAGGCACTTTTTCCTGGTAAATCTGAGGTCGATCAGCTCAGTAGGATATTCAAGGAGCTGGGAACACCAAATGACAGAATATGGCCGGGGTACAGCAAATTACCGATGGTCCAGAAGATGACGTTTGGACAGTATCCAGTCAACAATCTCAGGCAACGGTTTCACATGTTTCTCAAGGATCAGGGGATGGAGTTGTTGAACAAATTACTGACTTATGATCCTGCACAGAGGATGACTGCTGAGGATGCTGTCAAGCATGGGTATTTTACTGAGGCTCCACTTGCTATTAATCCTGATATGTTTCCTACGTGGCCTGCCAAGTCTGAGCTCGGCGCTAGGACTGCCAATGCATCTCCAAAACCACCGAGTGGTGGTAGGGAGTATAAGCAGCTTGGGGATGGCGATGAGGCGGAGATCAACTCATCTGGGGGATTTCACATGGGCATGCTCGATGGAGGCAGACCTCCACCTGTTGGTGGGGGCTTTCATCTCAAATTTTGAGGGCATTCCATTGGACTCACTGTTGTGAATTTTGTATGAATCGAATTGTGGTGGTATACATTAAAATTCATTTTGTATAGAGGCATGTGGAAAACGTAATTTTCTAAGTCTAATAAAATTTTAAAATGTATACGTTTTGTTTACTATTATTATTCATCATATTCACTCTGGGGAGACGAATTAAATCATTCGGTATTATTTTTTTGGTTTCTTATTTGAAGGGTGAGGCGATTTTTCTTTTAAAAAAAATCAAGGTAATTCACAAAATGATTATACGTATTATTCACGTTTATTTATCCTGAATATTCATACATCCAATTACTTGCGATTGAATTTTTGAAGGGATTTTTCCCATCCATAAAGGGATTCTTTAGAAAAATTCTAGAGCTTGAAATTTATGTGAAAATCTCACACATGGGAATTTCCTTCATTTGTATCTTTGGCCTTATTTTCCTGCACCTGGAACTTTTCTAATGAATTTCCATTGGAATCTCATCTACACAATAATACAGATTGAATCTACCATTGATGCAGACTAGGGAAATACATTGTTACGCAACACTCAACAGTAATTTATCGACAATCCAAAACTAATTACGAATATGGAGCACACGTTATTTCCCTGCATTATTCATGTTCTTGGGCAGGCCGAGGAGAGAATTTATGATTTCGGAATTGCGTTTTGGGTGGCACATGATGCCACGTTGAGGTAGCAGGTAGAGTATCCTTGCCAGTTGTAATTCATTGTCCTGAAGTGAATTTATGGTGAATTTAATAAAATTAACTAGAATTCCTATCGAATTTCGATTAAATTCTTATCAAATTGAAATCATTTTTAGAGGTACTAATATGTAAAAAAAAAATTATAGTACCACGCCTCTGCCATACGGGAAATTTGCCGTCATCATATCGCGATCAGCATCTTCAATGGTACCAAGAGTCGAGTCTATGATTATCAAAAGAATAAAGAAGAAAACCGGCTGAATAATTCCAGTTGAGAGCTTCATACTCCTGCGAAAAATTAACAGATAATTACTTGAGAAAAAAAGATAATCCCCACTTTGAGGGTAAGAATAATGAATAATAATGCAATAATTATACAAGTACTCGTAAATGATAACAAGTTTTCAGCGATTATCTTCAAATCTAAGAGGATAACGAAATTTTTGTAGAAACCTTTTTTATTATACTCAATACTCTCTATGTAAATCGTCTTATCAACAATTTCGATACGTCCGTTAGATTTCGAGATATTTCGGGATTACCTCTGTCGAATAATTCGCCCTCTCCGCAAGAAGACTAGAAATTGTCGAATATAGATTTATTGCTACTAGATTAAACTTGCGATCCTCTCTCGAACGTTGCTGAGACAATTCTACCATTCATTCGGGATAGCCTCGGTATTTTATAGTATCAGATAATGCAGGCATGATCGAATTCTGTCGGAAACAAGAATCCTGCGGGAGACAAGAGATATTACGCAGAAGCTAGCATTATTACGCTGTGTAAATCAATGGAATATTTTTTTTTATTTCAATTAGATATTTCCAGGTTTGATCGAATTAATAATTTATTAATTGAATATTAGGCTTATGGGAGATTGTACATTATTTAATTTTCATCGACGGGTAGATTTTAATAATTTTATCACTGCAAATATGTCTTCATATTAGTTATTCATTTTCAGCCACTTTCAGCCATGATGGATTTTTCCGAGGATGTATATTCCCTGCCTCATCCCTGCACTCTCAATTCTCATCGTCCTGTGAACTCGACGATCTAAACACAATATTTCAAATAATAAAATGATTAAAAATACATTATAGTCAATTGTATTTATATTTTTAATGCCAATTAGAATGATTGGGCAAGACTTACAGACGACCGAGTCTGTAAGCAGTAGTTGAGGGAGATTCATCACTTCGAATGATAGCAACACGAATATTTCGGTCCGAGCTCCTGGCTGCTTGTCCTTGAAGGTGTGCGAACAATTAATAATTCAATTAAAAACAATTAAAAACAATTATATTCACCTGCTGCATTCGTAGCGTTAATATCGAGATTTTCTCTAAAAGTCAATGGTACATTGTAAGAATTATTGCGAAGACATGGCGTGATATGTAATTGCAGTAAATTGTTTCTTACGGGACATAGTTGAATATGAATTCAAAGTCGACGTTTTGAGAGTCCTGAGAAAGATTGGAGACATATACCTCTAGGTCAATTAAACTTTGAGGACTCAAATAATTACCAGTTTCATTTTGGAATATGTTGGATGTCACCCAAGGGTTGCATTCCTTATCCTGCCAAGAGAAAACTCGAAATATGACATTTTTACACATACACAATTTGAAAGCTTGAGCTAAAAAGTTGAAACAACCTTTCCCGACGAAATTATATTTAATGAGATGAAATTACTTTCGGGAGGATGATGCCAGCGATGTTTATTCTGACTGGAGGATCATAGAATTTACTGTAGAACATGTCTACGGCATTCCAATTTGCAATCGTTGTCATCACAGCATTTCGTTTGCCCTTGCTGCAATTGAATGAAAGTTCACATTTCTTTTACCACTATATCGAAATTGCTTTCTATTTATTTCCATGGAAAAGGAAAAAATTCATGATAGTGTACCTAACATCTTCGTGAGCTACTTGAATCAATACTTCGGAGTAAGTGATATCCGAAGTCAGTTCTGAAAATTGTCTTGTGATTAATCAAAACATCATTTTTTTGAATCATTGAGATCGTATGAATACCTTTTAAATCCGGAGGTGAGTACGCATGTTTCAAGACAAAGATTTCATTAAAATCATTCGATCCATTTGTAATCTTTACAAGATTTTCGAATCGATGATTCTGCACCCACCCTTTCTAAAAATTCACACATACTTGTAAATTAATTAAAAATAAATTGAGAGTATTAGTCCAAAAAAAGATTGAATTCAATTGAGAAATGAAAATAGGTTTTTCTTCATTATATTCCATATAAGTTGAATAAATTGTTATTTCCGATAGTAGAGTAAGTACTTACAATGCGGTAAGTGTCATGAAATACAACAATTGCAGCTTCGTTTTTGTAATCCCGGTAAAGAGTGAAATTTCCGATTGCTGGCATGATCTGCGGCCAAAGTAAAGTATTTATTAATTCTCGAAATTATTTATTCTTCTTTATAAACCCATAAGAAAAAATCTGTAGGTCTCTGTTGAAATTGCAAAAAGATTCCCAACCAAATTTCATATCAATGCGCGAGGAATTCGTCTCTTAATTATAAAAATAAACATGAATTACCGCATCGTCCTCAATGTATTTGATTTCAGCACTTTTTTTTTCTTGTTCAGCGATCCATATGGTAGTCTCGTTGTTTATCAAGGTGTTCTCTACGCGTGTGAAGTTCAAAGTGATGTCTGGTTGATCCGCGATGATGACTTGGATAGTAAAACTTTGTCCAAGATCTTGTTCCTGCAGTTTGGAAGATTGTACGGTTCCTAGTTTTAACCCTGACCCAATGATTCTCGTGATTTCCCCATCCGTCAGCTCCTTCAGATTAGTACCGGGACACAGAGAACACAAAAAATAAAGCGAAAATAAAATGAAGATCTTCATTCTCGTCTTGATTTCGAAACTTTTCGATTGAATTGATTTTCTGCGCGACGTTTCGTTTATATACTCAGGAGAAGGCGAACTCTATGATTTCAGATGTCGTTTTAGATATCGAATGATTTTCGTCTATTGTAGTGACACGTGTTCAAACTTTGCGAGAATCTTTGTTATCAAGTAGCTCTTAAATTTTTTGAGTGTCGAATCCGATGGAATTTGTCGTCGTAAAGAGCATATGATATTTTTTTTATTTTATCGTTTGTTCAACACTTCCGAGAAAATGGCGTAGGCCCCAAAATAAAGTTCATTTTTTGAACTTGCTATCTTCAGTTCACAAGGGCATGAATGACGAATCACCGCCGAAAATAATAATAATTCGTTTCTCGTCTATAAAGCAATGTTATACCTGTTGATTACACTTTTTACTGCACTCGTGCCCGTATAGTTTTGCTTGATTTTTCTAGTTTAAAATCATATTTCTAGCGGTAGTTTTAAATGGAAGTAAACAATAAATAAAACACATCTCCACAAAAATATTTCCAGAACCAAGAAAAAACGGCTAATCATTACGATAAACCATCACCCACATCACCCTAAAGTTTGGGACTTTTCTCACCCGCTTGGCTCAAGTAATCACCTTAATGAACTTAATCACCTTAATCACTTAATTGATGAGTTCAACATAATTTTTTAATAAAATTGTTAAGAATTTTTTCCGCGTTTGAGGGTCCAGGTTTGATTCAGAAAGGAACTGCGAATTAATAATTCATTAATCGTGTATTCTGTTTATGGGAGATTGTACATTATTTAATTTTCATCGACGGGTAGATTTTAATAATTTTATCACTGCAAATATGTCTTCATATTAGTTATTCATTTTCCGCCATTTTCAGCCATGTTGCACTTCTCCGAGGAATTATATTCCATGCCTCATCCCTGCACTCTTCACGCCCATCGTGCTGTGAACTCGACGATCTGAACACAATATTTCAAATAATAAAATGATTAAAAATACATTTGAGTCAATTGTATTTATATTATTAATTTCGGCGGATGGAATAATTTTTTAATGCCAATTAGAATGATTGGGAATGACTTACAGACGACTGAGTTTGTAAGCAGTAGTTGAGGGTGATTCCTCAGTTCGAATGATAGCAACACGCGTCTTTTGGCCCTGGCTCCTGGCTGCTTGTCCTTGAAGGTGTGAGAACAATCAATAATTCAATTAAAAACAATTAAAAACAATTATATTCACCTGCTGCATTCGTTGCGTTAATATCGACATTTTCCCTGAAAGTCAATAGTACATTGTAAGAATTATTGCGAAGACATGGTGCTATATGTAATTGCAGTAAATTGTTTCTTACGGGACATAGCTGAGTACGGATATTGTCTCAGTAAGATCGGAGTAATATGCATGTAGGTCAATTAAACTTTGAGGACTCAAATAATTGCCAGTTTCATTTTGGAATATGTTGGATGTCACCCAAGAGTTGGATTCCTTATCCTGCCAAGAGAAAATTCGAAATATGACATTTTTTTTCTTCAATTTTTGCACCCAAAGTGCACAATTTGAAAGCTTAAGCTAAAAAGTTGGAACAACCTTTCCCCACAAAATTATATTTAATGAAATGAAATTACTGTCGGGAGGATGATGCCAATGATATTTATTCTGACTGGAGCATTATCGAATATAACATAGAACATCTCTACGGCATTCCAATTTGCAATCGTTGTCATCACAGCATTTCGTTTGCCCTTGCTGCAATTAGAATGATTGATTTAATAAATATGAGATTCAAAATCGCTTGGAAATATCGATATGAATATTCTAGGGAGAAACTCTGAGGCAATTGAATGAAGGATTCAATTGTTCACATTTATTTTACCACTATATCGAAATTGCTTTCTATTTATTTCCATGGAAAAGGGAAAAATTCATGATAGTGTACCTGACATCTTCGTGAGCTAATCGAATCACTACTGAGGTGTAAGGGATCCAAGCAGTCAATTCTGAAAATTGTCTTGTTATTAATCAAAGCTTCATTTTTTTTGAATCATTGAGATTGTATGAATACCTCTGAAATCCAAAGACAAGTACTCATCTTTCAAAACAAAGATTTCATTAAAATCAGCCGATCCATTTGTAATCTTTACAAGATTTTCGAATCGATGATTCTGCACCCACCCTTTCTAAAAATTCACACGTACAATTGAGAGTATTAGTCCAAAAAACGATTGAATTCAATTGAGAAATGAAAATAGTTTTTTCTTCATTATCTTCCATATAAGTTAAATAAATTGTTATTTCCGATAGTAGAGTAAGTACTTACAATAAGGTGAGCGTCATGAAATACAACAATTGCAGCTTCATTTTCGTAATCCCTGTAAAGAGTGAAACGTCCAACTGCTCGCATGGTCTGCGGTCAAAGTAAAGCATTTATTGATTCTCCAAAAATATTTATTCTTCTTTATAAACACAAAAGAAAAAATTTGTAGATCTCTGTTGAAATTTCAAAAAGATTCCCAACCAAATTTCATATCAATGCGCGAGGAGTTCGTCTCTTAATTATAAAGATTAGAAAAATAAACATGAATTACCGCATGGTCCCGAATGTATTCGATTTCACCACTTTCTTTTTCTTGTTCAGCGATCCATATGATGACCCCGCTGTTTATGAAGCTGTTCTCTACGCGTGTCAAGTTCAAAGTGATGGCTGGTTGATCCGCGATGATGACTTGGATAGTAAAACTTGGTCCAAGATCTCGGTCCTGCAGTTTGGAACATCGTATGGCTCCTCGGTGTAACCAAAACCGATTCCTTCTCGCGATTTGCGATTCCGTCAGCTCCTTCAGATTAGTACCGGGCAACAGAGAACACAAAAAATAGAGCGAAAATAAAATGAAGATCTTCATTCTCGTCTTGATTTCGAAACTTTTCGATTGAATTGATTTTCTGGGCGACGTGTCGTTTATATACTCAGGTGAAGGCAAACTCCATGATTTCAGATGTTATTTTAGATATCAAATGATTTTCGTCTATTGTTACACATGTTCAAACATTGCGACAGTCTTTGTTATCAAGTAGCTCTTAAACTTTTCGAGTGTCGAATCCGATGGAATTTGTTGTCGTAAAGAGCATATGATATTTTTTTTATTTTATCGTTTTTCCAACACTTCCGAGAAAATGGCGTAGGTCCCAAAATAAAGTTCATTTTTTGAACTTGCTATCTTCAGTTCACAAGGGCATGAATGACGAATCACCGCCGAAAATAATAAATTCGTTTCTCGTCTATAAAGCAATGTGATACCTGTTGATTACACTTTTTACTGCACTCGTGCCCGTATAGTTTTCCTTGATATTTCTAGTTTAAAATCATATTTCTAGCGGTAGTTTTAAATGGAAGTAAACAATAAATAAAACACATCTCCACAAAAATATTTCCAGAACCAATAAAAAACGGCTAATCATTACGATAAATTTTATTACACATTGCTCTTTCAGTCTGTTTGACTCGAGAATTTATGAAATTGTCACGTAACATGTTCGCATTGAATATAAAATCGGAATGATGATGAATGGCATTTGTTCAAACATCTCGCCTGTTCAAAAAAATAATTCGACAATACCTCCATGTGCATAGATTATCCATTAGAAATTCGAGCTGACATATTAATGAAAAGGCAGTGTCTAGAGACACGGTGTATGGCAATTGCCACACACCCAAGATAAGGTTTACCATATGTTTAAGCTCTTTCTTGCCATACACACATGGCAAAAGCCATGTGCGCAGCAATTTACTTATAAATTACTCGAAAATAAAATAATTATCTGTTCCTCGTCTGTGGGTTGAGAAAACTCTATGAGGATCCTCTGAGTGTCACCCTAAAGTTTGGGACTTTTCTCACCCGCTTGGCTCAAGTAATCTTTTTAAAATTTTAAAATAAAATTAAATAAAATTAAAAAAATTAAAATAATAAAAATAAAATTTTTTTATAAAATTGTTAAGAATCTTTTCCGCGTCTGAGGGTCTAGGTTTGATTCAGAAAGGAACTGCGAATTAATAATTCATTACTTGAATATTAGGTTTATGGGAGATTGTACATTATTTAATTTTCATCGACGGGTAGATTTTAATAACTTTATCACTGCAAATATGTCTTCATATTAGTTATTCATTTTGAGCCACTTTCAGCCATGATGGACTTCTCCGAGGATGTATATTCATTTCCTCATCATAGCACTCTTGATTCTCATCCCACGTTGATCTCGACGGGCTAAACACAATATTTCAGATAATAAGATGATTAAAAATACATTTGAGTCAATTGTATTTATATTATTAATTTCGGCGGATGGAATAATTTTTTAATGCCAATTAGAATGATTGGGAATGAC